CCTACACCTCCCCTCCCCCCGCCAGCCACCAAAGACTTGACCACGTAACGAGCCCAACTCCCCCGAACGCCGCCCGCCGCTCGCCATGGATGCCGGTGTGACTGAAAGTGGACTAAATGTGACTCTCACCATTCGGCTTCTTATGCACGGAAAGGAAGTAGGAAGCATCATTGGGAAGAAAGGGGAGTCGGTTAAGAGGATCCGCGAGGAGAGTGGCGCGCGGATCAACATCTCGGAGGGGAATTGTCCGGAGAGAATCATCACTCTGACCGGCCCCACCAATGCCATCTTTAAGGCCTTCGCAATGATCATCGACAAGCTGGAGGAAGATATCAACAGCTCCATGACCAACAGCACGGCGGCTAGCAGGCCCCCGGTCACCCTGAGGCTGGTGGTGCCGGCCACCCAGTGCGGCTCCCTGATTGGGAAAGGCGGCTGTAAGATCAAAGAGATCCGCGAGAGTACCGGGGCCCAGGTCCAGGTGGCGGGGGATATGCTGCCCAACTCCACCGAGCGGGCAATCACTATCGCTGGCGTGCCGCAGTCTGTCACCGAGTGTGTCAAGCAGATCTGCCTGGTCATGCTGGAGACGCTCTCCCAGTCTCCGCAAGGGAGAGTCATGACCATTCCGTACCAGCCCATGCCGGCCAGCTCTCCGGTTATCTGCGCTGGCGGCCAAGATCGGTGCAGCGACGCTGCGGGCTACCCTCACGCCACCCATGACCTGGAGGGACCACCTCTAGATGCCTACTCGATTCAAGGACAACACACCATTTCTCCGCTCGATCTGGCCAAGCTGAACCAGGTGGCAAGACAACAGTCTCACTTTGCCATGATGCACGGCGGGACCGGATTCGCCGGAATTGACTCCAGCTCTCCAGAGGTGAAAGGCTATTGGGCAAGTTTGGATGCATCTACTCAAACCACCCATGAACTCACCATTCCAAATAACTTAATTGGCTGCATAATCGGGCGCCAAGGCGCCAACATCAATGAGATCCGCCAGATGTCCGGGGCCCAGATCAAAATTGCCAACCCAGTGGAAGGCTCTTCTGGTAGGCAGGTTACTATCACTGGCTCTGCTGCCAGTATTAGTCTGGCCCAATATCTAATCAATGCCAGGCTTTCCTCTGAGAAGGGCATGGGTTGCAGCTAGAACAGTGTAGGATCACTCATAACCCCCTTCTGCTGTTTTCCCATGATCCAACTGTGTAATTTCTGGTCAGTGATTCCAGGTTTTAAATAATTTGTAAGTGTTCAGTTTCTACACTTTATCATCCGCTAAGAATTTAAAAATCACATTCTCTGTTCAGCTGTTAATGCTGGAATCCATATTTAGTTTTATAAGCTTTTCCCTGTTTTTAGTTTTGTTTTGGGTTTTTTGGCTCATGGATTTTATTTCTGTTTGTCGATAAGAAATGTAAGAGTGGAATGTTAATAAATTTCAGTTTAGTTCTGTAATGTCAAGAATTTAAGAATTAAAAAGGATTGGTTAAAAAATGCTTCATATTTGAAAAAGCTGGGAATTGCTATCTTAAACTCTTTGTTGGTGCTTTTTTTTTCTCCCCTTTTAGCATTAGGTGTTTGGAGGGCAGAGGGCCCCGCCCTCAGTATTCTTTCAAGCTCTTCTCACCTTATCGGTAAGATTCCATTCCCCCTGCCTCAACAAAGGAGCACAGCAGGCTGGGCCTGCTTTGGGTATTTACAGAGATGGAGGGACTCTTTCCTGAATGACATCCCTCCAACTAAGTTCCAGAGAGTGGCCTCTGCCCATTTCCCTGATAGAAAACATAAGGTTTTCTGATGTGGAAAAAGTGCCCATTCAGTAGGACCTGATGAATGGAGAGCATCCTCTCCATCTAACCATCCCCCTCTACCCCCATCCCATATGAAAAACTTAGCCAGGAACAATAAAATATTCTGAGGTGGGAGGAGCCTGGGGTGGAAAAGGGTTGGGGGAGGGGCATGGGTGGGAGGAGGGCAACAGCTGCGTCGTCGTTGTGGGGATGGAGGGGTCTATTAGCTGGACAGCTGGGGGAAAGGGGTCAAAGGAAGAGCTAGGCAGACAGTACCTTGCACGTGGCCTGCATGCACCTGTGGCAAGCCTGTCTGAGGATGTTGTTACACCTGTCAAGTGAGGTGTCCAGAAACAAAAGAGGCCCAGTTCCCAGTTTTTCAGCTGCGTGCAATGTTCAGAGAATCACTGTACCAGGAAGTGATCCTGCCTAAAGGAGGCAAGATTTCTTAAATTCTTACTGGCAAGAATTTTGACTTAACCATTGATCACAGCCTAAAGATGATCAGGGTGTTAACACAAATTCCTGGATCCTACCCAAATAACCAGAGAAATGCATTTTTAACACCCAAAAGTGTCTTGAGTTGAGTATCACTTTCTCTTTGGCAGATGGGGGGAATTCTGTGGTGAAGGCCTAGATGTCCCATGTCCACATCAGCTAATGGGGCTAGGATGGACCTAATGAAAGAAAAATTATCAACAAGGCAATGACAACAAGATAATTAGGTACCAAAGTAGATAATGCAAACCCTAGGCACTATATGAAATCACTACTAGCAAAGAAAAATTCCTGTGGAAGGGGAATATTACCCACAATATTTGTTGAAGCTTCTCTAGAGGACGTTTTTCCTGAGGTGTAGGCCTGGTTTTGAGAGTCCCTAGAGGTAAGATTGCCATATACTTCACATCCACTGTAGAGGCGGGTCAGGCAGTTGCTGAAAGGAGCTCAAATTAGTTAAGCCTGCTTTCATACTTCATTCTGCCACTTGCTGGCTTTGGGGAAATTAATTTATAATCTTTACAAAATGAAAGTGTTAAAAGTATACAGCTCCTAGGCTTAAGAAAGTAAAAAGAATGTTAGGGAAAGCAAGATGTTCAAGGCAGGCGCAGTGGCTCATGCCTGCAATCCCAACAGCTCAGGAGACTGAGGCAGGAGGATCAAAGCCAGCCTCAGAAACAGTGAGGACCTGTCTCGATAATACGGAAAAAGTGATGGGAATGTGTTTAAATGACCATGAGTTCAATTTCAAGTACATATATATAGAGAGAGAGTCTAGAACATGTTTTTGTTTTTTTTTTTAAAGGCCTATTTTGGGAGGTAGGAGTTTTCTAGAATATCTGAGAAGAGATGACAATTAGTTAAAAGGTAAGAAACTAGTATTAAATGTTGAGCTAGAGGAGCTTGTCTGAGAGGCCAAGACACATCGGGGAATGGGAAATAGTGAAGACCTGGAAGCCTGTTCATTACCTTCTGGAAACAATGAGCACTAATCAGGGCAAGTAGGTAATGAACTCAAACCCAGAGACGCCATGCCTATAGTCTCTGAAACTTGCTAGGCGAAGTAATTTGAATATACCCCATGGAAAATTAGAGCACAACCTTTCCTAACCCTCCTCCCCACTATACATGCCCTTTATTAGGACAAAGCTGGTGATAATTTGTAAAAAATAAT